TTTTCCCTTTTTAAAATTTTTCTTCACAGGACGGATCACCATATCACAAATTTAAAAAAAAGTTTTTTAAAGATTTATTTATTGGAGAGTGCACGTATGCGAGAGAGAGAGGGAGAGAGAGCGCGCACGCACAGAGAGAGAGGGAGAAGCAGACTCCCTGCTGCACCATATAACCAATTTTATATGTGTACCTATTCATTTTCACTATCGTCCGTTCCTCCACTAAGATGTTGGCTCTACAAGGGCGGCAATTTGTGTCTGTCTCATTCACTGCTCTATCCCCAGCACCTAGCACGGTGCTGAAACAGAAGAGCTCAAACAAACGTGTTGGATGAATGAAAAAATATTCCCAAATTTTCTCCTGGCCTGTCACACAGTCCCACAGTCTCAGAGCATTTGGAGTCTGAGGAATAATCCTCATCAATGTGTATATTTTAGCTTCCAGTCCTAGTGTCACCTTCACTGTCCTTGGTCCATGCCCACACCAGACATCCTACGGCATGGCCCTGCCTTGACTCTTAAAACCCCGTTCACTTTCCTCACTGCCACCAGAGGGCTCTTTTTAAAGCATTCAATCTAGTCACGTTACTCTTCTGGGAAGATCCTATGTTGCCTCTTGATGGCTAGTTTGGTCTCCAGGCTACATGTTTATACCAGTTAGGATGCTCCTGGGTTTTTGTCTTTGTTTTTTACCAGAAAACATACCTCCAACTGACTTAAAGAATGTGGAAACTAATCAAATCCAAGAAAGAGTCCAGATTAGAGTAGACTTCAAGTCTGATTGGATCCAGCGGCTCCTGCCTCACTTGCCTTGGCTCAGTCCCACCGAGATTTCGTTCACAGGCTTGTAGAGAAAACAGCTTCAGTGCTGGCCTCACTTCCTCACCTAACAGTGTGTGGAAGAGGAGAGACATATGTATCTTGCACATTGTGAGCCCTTGTCTAACTCACTGGGCCTCAGTAGACTGAGTCGGGTCATTGCCCATCCTTAAACCAATCCTTTTCTCTGAGAAAATGCCATACTTGGATTGACATAGGTCTAGATTTCTGAATCACTGACATAAAAGATGAAATATTCCGAATTGGTTTTTATCAATCAGGATTCTCCCTTTTCCTGCCTCCCTGGACCTGAGTGAGGATCAAGGCCTCAAGGCGTTTCACAAGGTCAGAGAGGATGTAGAAAGTGTGCTGAAGGGACAGCATGACTTCCTTTACAGTTTATTTCATTGCATCCCACACACTATTGCTCTGATGATCACAGTTGTTATTTTGAATAAATGTGAGTAAATGAGTAAATGAATGAGTAGCGTTCCATCTGCTAGGAAAGGAAAGAAGGATGTCCAAGAAAGTTGGGACAGCCTATAAACCCATGGCATCTTAAGGTTTGTTACAACTAGAGACTAGGGTGGTGGGCTAGGAAGAATTTCCAGAAATTACATTAAGTGAACAATGGATGTATCGGTCAGTGTTCTTCAGAAAAACAGAACTAATAGGATGTATAGATTAAGAAGTTTATGATAAGGAATCGACTCACATGATTATGGAGGATGAGACATCCAAACCCAGGAGAACCAATGGTATTGTTCTAGTCCAGAATTGTTCTAGTCCGAGTCCAAAGGCCTGAGACCCAGGAGAGACAGTAGTATAAATCCCAGCCTGAGTCTGAGTCTGAAGGCAGAAGACTAATGTCCCAGCTTGAATACAGTCAGGCAGAGAAAGAAAATCCTTTCTTATTCAGCCTGTTATTCTTTTTTTTTTTTTAAGATTTTATTTATTTATTTGAGAGAGAGAGAATGAGAGAGAGAGAGAGCACATGAGATGGGGGAGTGTCAGAGGGCGAAGCAGACTTTCTGCTGAGCAGGGAGCCCGATGCGGGACTCGACCCAGGGACTCCAGGATCATGACCTGAGCCGAAGGCAGTCGCCTAACCAACTGAGCCACCCAGGCGCCCTCAGCCTGTTAGTCTGTTCAGGCCTTCAACAGATTAGATGAGGCCCACCCACACCAGGTCGAGCAATCTGCTTTACGCAGTCTACCAATTCCAATGGTAATTACATCCAGAAACACTCTCATAGACACCTCCAGAACTAATATTTAACTAAATATCTAGACACCCTGTGGCCCAGTCATGTTGACACGTAAAAATTAACCATCACAGTGGGTGTTAGTCAAATAGTATGCATGACAAGGAGGTTAGACTTACCCTTTGGCCATTCAGTTGTTCACATTTTCACTGATCTCCTACTCCACGGACTGTGCTTGGAGGTGGGAATTAGATGGGGAAATAATGCAGATGTGATCCCTGACCTCAGGGAAGTAGGGGGAGGTATAGATGTTAAGTAGCTAATTCTCTAGATGTTACCTCCTCTGGTAAGGCCTCTCTCACTGCTCAACCTCCAACTCTCCACGAAGACTGAGCGTCTCCCTCCTTCTGGGTTCCCGGGGTCACTTGAGGTAGTGGCAATAATACAACAGATCTAAGAGTACTGCCCTAGGTGTGTGCACTCACTCATTTAAACCTCAAGCAGCCCTGTGCATCAGGTGCTAGGACAGTCCCCACTGAACAGAGAGGTTAACTAACTTGCCCAAGGACACAGAGCTGCTAAGTGGTAGAGTTGAGAGCTTGAACCAGTCAGTGCCACGTCAGAAGGCAGACTCCTAATCACCATGCTATGTCATGCCCCCAAGTGCCTCTCCGTATTTTACAGATGAGAAGACCAAGGCTCAGGCCCAGGCTCAGGGTTCGCCCTAGGCCATGGAGTTTAGGAGCTGAATCTGAATGCAGGCAGGCGGCAGAGGCCGAGCTTCCCGTTGGGGTTCCACAGCGCCCTGCAGAGCCCTGTGTCAAGGCATGAGGCATACTGGATAGTGTGTAGCCATCCACATGCCTGTCCCCACTCTCCAGTGGACAGGCTCCTCAAGACTAAAGACCCAGTCTACTCTGCTCCTTTCTTCAGTTCCATCACAGTTCTAGCATTTAATCCAGTACTCAAGTGTTTGTTGAATGAAAAAAACTACTAAAAAAAAAAAAAAGAAAGAAAGGATAAATGAATGAATGAATAAATGAATGAATGACCCTTAGTGAAACTTCCAGACTCAGGGTATGACCTGTGATTAGGGGGACTTAGAAATACTCTTCGCAAACCGGGGATGCGTGTGAGTCTCTGTGTCCTTAGCCACAGGAGGAAACAAAACCCTCAAAAAGGAAGACAGAGAGAAAATGGGGCGTAGCAAGGATTCCGGGTTGGATTCCATGACGTCACCCTCAAGCTGGATGTCTGGGCCGGTAAACAAAAGCTCTTGTGACATGGGCCCTTGCTGGGCGGCCCACCCGGCCGGCGTGGGGGAGGCAGTCAAAATGGCCTGCCTCAACCCTGGCCTCCGCCCCAAGCTTTAGCCCAGACGCCTCTGCATTCAGCAGGTATCTCGTCCAAGGGAAACCAGGACAGGAAATCACGTTGCCATGGAGACCAGAGAGGCCCTTCCAGACACAGGGGAAAATAAACACGTTCTGGTTGGACTTAACCCCAACGAAGCCAGGGTAGCCTTACCTCCAAGTCTGAGAGGTCCTGCTTTTCACTAGAAATGCGGGGGGGGGGGCCTCTCCTCCAAGGGCCCTCGGCACCAAGGGCGGTAGAGCCTGTGCCCCCTCAAGGTCTCTGGGGGCAGCGTCACCGCAGGGCTGAAGGACGAAGCCATTGCTTTTGCCCAGACCTAAGTCTCCTTCACAGCTGAGAGCTTCATGCTGACAAGGACTAATGCCGGGCACATTTCTGCGCACTGCTGCTCTACGGAACTCATTCAATCCTCGTAACAACCCAGTGAGAAAGGCCTTGTTATTATTAGCATGCCCATTTTACTGACAAGGAAACTGAGACACAGAGAGACCGAGTGACCCGCCCAAGGTCGCCAGATGGTTGACGGCGGCACCAGAATATGAGGCATTTGGAGATTTCTGGGGGCAACAGAGAGCATGGCACGCTGAAGCCTCCAAAACCAGCTGTGTGACCCTGAGCACGTTAAGTCGTCTCTCTGAGCCTCGGGTTTCCCCCTCGGTACGTAGGCACCTACGTCGAGGCGCTGTGATGGGGTTAAGTATGATGCACATTTATTGAGCACTCACTGTATGCTAGGCACTATGTCGGGCCTTGAAAGTACAGTGGGAAGGAAGACAGGTGCAGTCCCACGATCGCGCAGTGGGCAGGTGCCTTCAGGACAGGGGGAAGCGCCCTTCTGGAAGCCGTGAGGCAGGGAAGGAGTTGGCGCCTTGGAAGAACTGGGAAAAGGTCAGAGGGTTGAAGATCCCAGCACCAGGGAGCCAAGTGCCAGAAGCTGGATCACACAGGCTCGTGGTAGATTTATCTTAACCCGAGTGGGTGGCGTTTGTTGTCAGGCCTGACTCTCAGTGTCGAACACAGAAGAAAGTCAGGTTTCAGGGGCGCTGCTAGGGGGTCGGCTGTGCCACTAGGGGTTGCCTAATTCTGGACTAATGGCTAAACCTGGCTTGCTGCCTTTTTTTTTTTACTTTTATTTATTTGAGAGAAAGCACAAGTGTTGGAGGGGGGAGCGGCAGGCCGAGGGACAGGGAGAAGCAGGCTCCCCGCTGAGCAAGGAGTCCGATGTATGACTCGATCCCAGGACCCTGGGATCATAACCTGAGCCGAAGGCAGACACTTAACTGGCTGAGCCACCCAGGCGCCCCGCCGCGTGTTTCTGTACGGCCCGCAAACTAAGAGTGATCTTTGAAATTTTAAGTCATTGAAAAAGAATCCAAAAAATATTATTTTGTGACATGAAATTCTGATATCAGTGTCCATAAATATTTATTGGAATGCAGACACACCCACGCTGATAGATGGTCCCTGGCTGCTTTTGTCCTGGGAAGACGACAGAGATGTATGGCCCGCAAAGCCAGAAGTACTGAATGCTTGGCTCTTTACGGCCCTGGACAAGACGCCTCTAGCTTTGGGGAGCAGAGTCTCACTAAGGAGAGACGGTACCTCAGGAGCTCTTCTAGGGGAGCGAGGCCAGGAGGCAGCAGGCTTCTGTGAGTCAGAGTGGGCGCGATAAGATTGAGCTGGGCACTCCCCGCTGTCATGCGCGAAGCCCTCCCAACAGTCCCTGAGGCAAGAACCAGGATTATCTCATTTTCCAGAGGGAGAAACAAGACCAGGAGACACGAAGGAGGCTGCCCAAAGTTACAGAGCTGGTGTGGGACAGAGCAGGGGCCAGAACTGGAGCAGCTGTGGCCACAGTCTTTTAGCCTCTCCCAGGTGCGCCTCCAGGGCTGGCGTGGCCGGCGTGGCCGGGGACTCGTCTACCGCACTGCACCTGAGCTACCACCTCACGTGTCACAGAGGCTGCAGGAGAGTTGGGATCCACAGCTTCACCGTGTTGGGGATTTTCAACATCTGACAACAGGTTTGTGCTGCAGCCTACTTGCCGTCAGAGCCAAGCCCCGTAGCCCTGAAGGGCACAGAGCTCAGGAGCCCTCAAAAACTGGTGTGACCTTGGGCAAGTCAGTTCATCTCTCTGAGCCTCAGTTTCCCCCACTGAAACGTAAGCGCCTGCCTTGAAGAATTGCTGTGAGCGTTACACCCAATGACACATGTATTGAGCATTTACTATATGCTGTATGCTTTAGGCCTTGGAAGACCAAGTGTACAGATGATTCAAAGGGCTCCCTTGCCCTCTGGCTTCCCATTGGTTTTGACCCAGAGGGAGTCCCAGGAGGTGACTGCGGAGGGCGAGAGAAGGAGAGTGAGGTTAGGGTATTAAGTCGTCAGCTTCCAGGCGCCTGGGTGGCTCAGTCGGTTAAGCATCTGCCTTCGGCTCAGGTCACGATCCCGGGGTCCTGGGATCGAGTCCCACGTTGGCTACCTGCTCGGCGGGGAGCCTGCTTCTCCCTTTCCCTCTGCCCCCTCCCCTCTGCTCATGCTCTCTCTCTAATAGATAAATACAAAATCTTAAAAAAAAAAAAAAAATCGCCAGCTTCCTCCCTTTGGGATCCCTAGGTGCCTTAGGACAGCTCTTGCCAGGCAGCTTCCTCCACCTCCACTTGGCCCCTCCCTGCCGGCATCTGCCAGCCTAGGGTGATAACAGAGCCTGCTCTACTTAGTCCTTGAGGATGCCCATGATGGTGTGATACCCTACCCTCCTTTGGGAAGAGTCCCTTTATTAAATGCTCCTCGAATCACCTAATTTGACTGTGCCTTCTCTCTCCTGCTGGGGCCCTATTGCTCTCTTCATTTACATTGATTTCCCAAGTGCACCGGGTAGGCTCGGTGCATTGTGCCTGGTCTCCAGCTCCCCAGTACAATACTGAGAGTTGAGGAGCCATGGCAACCTTATGTCAGAGACGAATTATATCCCACACTCCTGGGGGCATGGGGGACACAGGCCCTTGTGCACACCGATGGGTAGGAATGTAATATCGTAGACCCTAAATGCAGAGAGATTTGGCAACATGTTTCAAGATTTTAGGACAGCCCTTTTGACTCTGTGACTTCATCTTTAGTAATTCATCTCAAGGAAATAATCATACTAGTATAAAAAGATGTCCTATTGCAGAATCAAACCAACTGTCCATGTATGTAGTGACTACATAAATGAACACACTCAATGGATATTTTTTGAGTAACTGCCAAGCTTTGAGCATTGTGCTAACGCCTTAAGATATACAGTAGTAAAGCATATGCAAAAGAAATTAATAGTTCCATATGTATGAGTATAGAGAGATGCCCACGATATAAGGGTAGTAGGAAAAAAATCAGGCTACAGAACAGTAAGTGAAATAGGATCCCATTTTTATTCATTAGGTTTAGAGAAAAGTATGGAAGAATATAGAACAAACTGTTCGTAATGGTTAACTGGGGAGATGGAGTTATCATGGACTTTCATCTTTTTATTTTATACAGTCTGTATTACTTGAGTTTTATTGGACTAAGCTTTTATAATTAAAAGAAATTTCCATTTTGAACAACTAAACTTCATGCCTGTTTCCTTCCTTTTTAGAGTAATATTTACCCTTTTCATTATAAAAGCTATACATAAATACATTCTTAGAGTTAAATTTTCCCAAAAACTATAGACAGAGTTTAAGTCCTTCTTAACCACCCCGAGGTAACGACTACTATCTGTGGATATGTTTACCTCCAGAATTATTTTGCATCTTACATGCATTTACATATACTTACATGTAGCTATAGACAATATATTGTGTGTTGTGTTGGATTTTTTTTTCTTTTACATGAGTGAAACCCTACGGTAAGTATTACTCTACACCTTGCCTTTTAAAATCCAACGTCTTGAAAGCCTTTTCACGTCAGTATAGATGGACTTAGTGTCTCTTAACCACTCCAGAGTATTCATAGCATGAATATACCACAGTTAACATAGGTTATTAGAGGGTTTTAGAGCTTGCAATTTGAAATTAAGCCTGAGGTCACATATTAGTTATCTATATTTACAGAACAAATCACTGTGGAATTTAGCAGCTTAAGGCAATCAGTATTTATTATCTTACAGTTTCTGTGGATCAGGGTCTTCCACAAGGCTGCAGGCAAGGTGTTGGCCGGGATTACAGTTTCATCTGATGGCTCAAGTGAGGAAGAATCTTATTCCCAGCTCACTCACGCCGTTGTTGGCAGGTCTCCTTGCTGGCTGTTGCCTGGAGGGTCTTCCTCAGTTCCTTGCCATGTGGGTCTTTCCACTGGACAGCTCACAGCATAGTAGCTGTCTTCCCTCAGAGAGAGCAAGCAAGAAAAGGCATGCAGAATGGAAGCCAGAGTCTTTCCGTCACCTAATCTTAGAAGTGACATTCTATCACTTTTTTTGGCACATTCAACGCATTTGAAGTGATTCACTAGGCCCAGCCCAAGCGTCAGGGGAGGAAATTATATAAGGGCATGAACATAAGAAGCCAAGAATCGCTGGGAACCATCTTGGAGGTTATCTACCATTGGAACGGTAATCCAGCAATCCTATGAACCATGGATATAAAGAGAGAGAGAATAGAGGGAGCATAACCTGTTCAAGGCAGGGGCTGTCCATCAATTCAACAAATACATTCTGAGCACCTACTTTGTGCCTAAGCACTATCCTAGGTCCTGGGGATAAAATGGGGAACAAGACAGACCAAGCTAAAGACAGACCTCATGGAGTTTATAGTACAGCAGAGGCAAGACATGGCAACTAGAGAGATTATGAGCATAAGGAACAAGAGACAGTGGTCATGCAATTCACAAGTGATTTCACAGGTAAACTCACCGCAGCCTGTGGCCGGTTGGATGTGGTGAGTGAAGGGGAGGGAGGAGTTCAGGATGACTCCCATGTTTCAAGGTTGGGTAACTGGTGGACTCTGGAACCTCTGCCTGAGGGGAAGAAAACTAGAGGGAGAATAGACTTAGGGAAGGATAGTAAGCCCAGTGTCGGACATGTTGAGTTTAAGGAATATATCTGGCAACCAGGTGATACTTGAGAGTCAGTTGGACACCAGCCTAGGACCTCAGAAGTGATACCTGAACTGGAGACAGAAGATAAGGCATCAGCGGCATGATGGTGGTATTTAAAGCTACATCAATGACTGTAGAGAGAATAGAAGGCTGGTGGAATTCTGACAAATGGGAACATCTAAGGGGTGGCGGAAAGGAAAGAGAAGGGCAAAAGGAAGGAGGAAGAAGGAAAGAGAAGCGAAAAGAGCAGTCAGAGGGACAAGGACGGGACGTCATGGATTCTGCAGGAGAAAAGAACTGGAAAATAAAAGAGTGATCATAAATGTCCCACAGAGTCAATAAATCAAGATGTGTCCCTCGGCGCAAAAAGGAGGTCATCGGTGACCGTGATGAGAAGAGTTCCAGGTGGAGACTGTGATGAGAACAGTTTCAGAAGTGGTGAGTGGGAGGAAGAGAAGGCTGAAGAGCAGAGATAGTGAGTGCAAATCACCCTCGACTTTCACCCCACTGGCACATATGTGAATTAAATGTCCATCCTTGAAGTTATTTTAGCATCTGGGAGGGCGTCAGAAATTCCTTTTCCATTCAGTCCTGTTGCTGTGGTTGGGAATCATTCCATTAAGCAAGAAGAATAGGATTGCTTTCGACGGGTGGGGAAAGAAAAGGAAGAAAAGCCAGGGGGTCACGTCCTTCTTGGGCTGTGATGGTGAGGCTGTGTGACCTCCAGTGAACAGAGAAGCAAAGGTGTCCAGGAGCACCATGGTGGCTGTGGATCCTGGATCCCATGTGGGTACTCAACATTCCATATCTAACGTGAATCTTCTTCCAAAGCCGGAATGCCTTCGTATCCTTTAGCAATCTGGAATCTTAGGAAATTTGGGCATTTATTATTTAAGTAGGAAGAATCCTAGCTTTCCTCGGGTGAAATATCTTCGGGTACTTCTCTTCCAGTTTCCATTTGTTCTCTCTGCCCACCAGAGGCCTTGCTTCTTTGATCTCCCCTGCCCCCCTTGGGATCAGAAAACTGCATGAAAGGTGATGTTGGTTGGAGAACTGGAGTGGATTAACCAAAATGGTTAGTTTGGTAGCCCTTTCCCTAACCTTCTGGTGACCCTTTCTAAAAAAGTTTATGAACATGATTGCTCAGATTTAGACCAACGTACACATGCGCATTGGGGGAGGGGTGCTTTCAGAGAATATTCATACTTAAAAGGATTACGTTTCAGGGTGTCAGCTTTTGTCACAATACATTGAACGGTGTACCTGCTTTGCGCGTTATTGAGTTGCAATGGAGAGAAGATTATGCTCCACCTCCACTTATTACCATTATAAGGCTCTATTACTTGCAAGATCCCTTTCTTGTTAGTCCCAGATTATTAATTCCACCCAGGAAAACTGGCACCTCACTGTTTGTGGGCCTCCCTGGTACCAAATCATGTACTACTATTTTACTTTTGAATCACCTACGGGTTGGAAATAAAAAAGTAAACCATTGGTAAGCCTTAGCATTCTACCTGAAGGGCTTTCTGTTGGGAAGTAGCATTTAGAAAGAGGTACCCAGGGCTGGAAAATTTTAGAACTAATTTGCCAGGGGCGTTTTCATTTTTACTTGCCTTCCAAATAATCCTACCCCCACAGCTGTTTT